CTGCAGGAGCATGGTCCCACTAGCAAAGAGGATCAGACCGGATCGAATGCCTGAATCTGGACTTGTTTTTGGAAAAGTGCAGAATGTTAAGATTGAACTGCTTTTCCGCATCTCTTCTTAAAACACGTCCAGATTCAGGATATTTATCCAACCCTCTTTGCTAGTGGGACCTCACCCCAGGAGCATGGTCCCATTAGCAGTCGGATAGGAGTGTGGCCACTCCAGTGTGACACTGTGGCAGCGGCCTGACAGGTTCATTACGAATTTCTGGGCTAAGAAAAAAAGGAGAAAGGCCAAACAAAAAAAAAAAAAGCAACAGAGACCTCCCACCGGAAATCACGGCAGAGTGCTTCCCAGCCATCAGATCACAAATGATCTGCTATCAGATCACAAATGATCTGATGATCTGATGGTGGTGGTTACAACAAAAGTGAGCAAAGTAACTGCCAGCATTTTTCTGGAATCTAAACTCGACTTCTGTCAGCAGTGATCATGATGCCCTCCATATATATATACTCCGTGATGGAAGGAGGGCTCCACCCGATGAGATAACTGCACAACAGCAAGCAAAATACTGAAAATCTTCTATCCAGTGGGCCTATGGCCGACCCCACCCTCTTTTGGGGTTGGCCATAACCCCAACCGATTGAAAAGATTTTGGCGGGAAGCTTTCTTTCCGCGGGCATGCCCAGAGTTAAGGAGAGGAGGAGGGGAACAAAGATCTCCTTACTTTTTCCGTTGGTAATAAATGTAAAATACTGACCGTGGGATCCCTCACGAGTACTGCACGGCAGGATTTTGGTCACACTCAACTGCCACACGAAGTTTAACTCGCTTCTATCCTATCCCGTTGCTAGTGGGACCATGCTCCAGACGAAAAAAAGTTGACATCAACAGTCAGCCGAGAGAAAATCCGCTCGCTGAGGTTCCCATCTCTTTCAAGTTTCAAGCTGTCCATTCCAAAAGCTATTAACTTCACAACGCCCTCTCCCGAATGGAGACACTCGAAGAAAGAGTCCAAGAGACCCTATCTCCTTCTTTTTTTTTTCCCTTTCTAAAGAAAAGAAAAGATAAACAGCAACCGTGTCTGCTTTACAAAAAAAAAAAAAAAAAAAAAAACACTAGAAAGGAGGACTTCAACTCTCGAACTTTGTGACAAATTGCTAGCCCTCACTAGATATCTACAATATAAAGCATTACACTAGACTTGACAAAAGATGGCCAGAAATTCTCGGAACGCCGAAAACAGGAGGAAACTCCCGTCGGGTTCTGCCCCTTCCGGTTTGCGTGCAAAGTTCCAAGTGAAAAAAAAAAATCTCTCTCATATGCTTCGTAGCCTCAGTGGTACGTGCATGATGCTTGGTAGCTTCGTAGCCCTGGCGAAGATTGAGTCCTATTGCTGCCACGAGCTCAAATTCAATAAAACAAAATCTGAAAAAGACTGCAGCTGGATATTTCAAATTTGTAACATGAGTTCACTACAGCCTGAGGAGTCTGATCTAAGCAGGAGTCTGAACGAAAAGGAACCTGGACAAACAAGTTGTCCGCATGCGTAAGGACCGCATAATGGCACAGGAAGGCATCCCGGGTACGTTCGTTACTTGTACAGCTGCACCTCACTAAAACCTAGTCTTCGGCTCCGCATCATCATCAGAAAGCTTGCCCAGAAACTGCACGCCCTCTTCGGCTCCGCATCATCATCAGAAAGCTTGCCCAGACACTGCACGCCCTCTTCGGCTCCGCATTATCATCAGAAAGCTTGCCTGAAACTGCACGCCCCTCCCCGGGCCCCCATCCCCACCCCGCCCGTCACGGAATTATTTGGCAGGTGCCGCCTGCTCATGGTGCATGTGGTTGCAATCGAGAGAGTCGGAGAGACGAGATCAGTCGGCACCTGCGAAATAATTCCGTGACGGAGAATTCAATGCCGCCAACAAAGTGAAACGGTTTTCACCTTTTAGCAGTAGCGGATGCAGTACCCAGGGTTCGATCCCTAGACCTCACCCTACCCATGTACAGTATCTGTGTAGACCCCGAGAATTGAACCTGTGACCTGTGTATTCGTAGGCAGTTGGTAGACCTGTCGTAGGTCCATAGACAGCAGGGGTTCGATCTGTAGGTCTATAGCGTAGGAGTCTTAGTGAGTTCTGGAAGCTTAGCTGTAGACCTTCTAGAAGGTAGGCAAGTGGGCAAGTGGTCAAGTGGTGAGGCAAGTGGTG